GCCCACCCCACTGAAGCCCCCGAATCCTCGGGATTTCCGGAAGCCCATCTGCCATAGAACTCAGCAACCCGAGGAATCGTGCCCCTAGGGGTTTAGGGTTTAGGGTTTAGGGTTTAGACCACTACCTCAACCTCAAACTCTGAAGCCGCGCGCACAAAGGGGAACGGTTTAGGCGGTTTAGGGTTTAGGGGTTTGGGGTTTAGGGTTTAGGGTTATGCCACCCCAGACCCCCGGCCAGTCCAGGTTACATTGCTCCACCACTGCTTGGGCGTACAAAGCGCTTCCGCGGTGAGGGACCATGCAACCTGGGGATTGCCCAGGGCCGAAAAGGAAAAAGCATGTGCGTCTACGGCTGATGGTATAAATCCTGCATTGCCCATAATAAGCAATAGACCATAATTCCCATAGTTTAGGGTCTTTAAGGTAATGCTAAGGATTTGTATCATCAACCGTATGTTCAGAGCGGAAGAGTAGGGTTTTAGGCAAGTCATCCCCAAACCCTAAACCCCAAAACTTACAGCTTTAGGCCCCTGAGAACCTCAACCCTAACTCAAAAACCCTAAACCCTAAACCCTACAACCTAAACCCTAAACCCTAAACCCTACACCCCCAACCCTAAAACCCTAACTCAAAAACACACCACTAAGCGCCCCTGAAGTTGCTATACGTTCGAACCCGTGGGCTGGGGAGAGTTTGGCAGGGCGGCACATCTGCCAAGGACAAAAGCAGGGTTTGGGGGTTTGAGGGTGTGGGGGTTTAGGGGTTTGGGGGTTTGGGGGTCTGGGGGTTTAGGGTTTAGGGGGTTTGGGCGTTTAGGGGTTTAGGGGGTTTAGGGGTTTAGGGGTTTAGGGTTTAGGGAGGTGTCTTTCATGTAAAGCAAAGCGAAAAAAGGTTGCCTGATTTTGACTATTTCAGCTGTGATAACATGGCCGGTCGATCCATTAGGTCCGAGACTATCCAGCTAGAGGACCACAAGGATGACTGGCAAAACCTCCATCACCCGAAACCCCAAAATACCCTAAACCCTAAAGACTCTAAATACCCTAAACCCTAACTACCCTGAACCCTAGATACCTTAAACCCTAAACCTATCATTCAAATTCAGAAACCCCAAAGTGTCGGATTGTTCCCCCGCCATGACCCACCATAGCACTAGCTCGGACCCAGAAAATCCGAGTGCTTCCTTTGGTTCGTGGGTCCTTTTCCGATCTGCAACTTAAGGGTTGGGAGTTGAGGGAATAGGGCTGGGCTTAGAGTTTAGAGCTTGTCTCGTGGTCTAGAGTACCGGTGTAGGGAGATGCAGGTGTACTCAAAGCACTACCCTAAACCCCAAACCCACTAAGTCACGAAACCAAAAATCATATACCTTAAGCCATAATATTAGGGCCCCTATAATTGAATGCATATTCCTTGATTAAGAGGTAATTGGGCTCCCTGGGAAACCCTAAACCCTAAACCCGAAACCCAGGCGTTTGGCTGCAGGTCAGGTAGTTTTCTCCTTCGGGGGATCCCTGCCCTGTCCCAAACCCTCGCGTGGCTGCCATAGCCCGCTTGCGTGGCCGCTACTTCTGAACCTGGGTAGCGCGCTTGGTTTTGGAGCTCCACTGTACGCCGGGCGAGGTGGTTTTTCCATTTTCTGATATATTACTGAGCTCACCTCTGCGCTGGCAAGGTGTGCTCCTTCTGCTGGCCTCTGTACGCGCTGCGAGGAGGCCCTGCTTCTATCCCGGCCTTGGGCCGCTGGATTTCCAATACCCAGTTTGTTTGCAGTTCATCGCATGGGAAGCGGTGTCTTGCGAACCCTGGGCTTGATATTGATTCTTACAACTGGTTTTTTCTGCCATTCCGACAGCAACAGAACCCGCCTGGCACCGACGCCAAAGGCGGCGCCGGACACTGGCTCGTACCACCCTCCGGATTTTCACTGCCAGTGCACAGGGCAGTGGAAGTGCGGGACCAATCCCCAGAGCGAAGGTCTGGGAAGCGATAGGTGTCTTGCAGGGACACCATTCGAGATCGACTTTGCCGAGCAGAGCTCTGCAGAGGCTCGCAGAGATGTCGGGAGCACAGTCTTGGTGGTGCACGACCTGCAACAGGTGGTGCAAACAGTCCGCTACTTTCTGCAGTGGCTGCGGATCGCGGTGGGACTCTCAGCAGCAGAATCGTCAACGTGGACAATGGGGCGAGGGTGGCAAGGGCCACCAATGGCCCGTTTCTCCGCGCCGACGAGCAGAAGCAGCACCATGGAGGCCTCCTTCTCCTCGCCGTCGGCCCAAGGGTCGCGGCAAGGCAGAAGGCAACAAGGATGGGGCGGCACCGGAGGGCAACCCAAAGTCAGCCTTCCCACAGCCGCCATCATTGCAGTCGCTTCCGCAGCCGCCGGTGGCGAAAGTGTTGCCCAAAGCATCGCCACCCACGGCTGCAGCCCCTTCCGAAACAGCCTCGGAGGAGAAGAAATTGATCATGGAGCTGATGGCCACCGTTCCGCAGGACCAGCTTCTCTGTGGGGCTTCGGGAGAAGTTGACCTCCTTTGCCAGAGAAGAAACCCATCAGCATGGGAAGCACATGCACAGGCTCGTCTCAGAGCAGACGCAGCTGAGGAAGCAGCTGGAGACTTTGCGGACCGAGCGGGCATTGTTCGCCTCGGCCTGGGAGGGCTACTTCATCCAGTTACTACAACTTTGGCAACAGCAAGGCGAGGCTCGACTGAAGGCCTTGCAGGAGTTCTCCTCGCAGGAAGTGGAACTGGCTACTCGATTGACTACGGCAACACATGCCTTGGCTGCTGCGGCAGCGGAGACGGATCGGGTCCAGCCTCAGTTCATCGAGGACGACGAGGACGACGAGCAGGACGCCATGATCACACAAGTGGTCGAGGTGGAGGCCGACATTACCGAGAGGAATCGTCGGGCCCAGGAGAACTTGCAAGAACAACATCAGAAGATGCAGGACCTCCTGCAGCAGGCATGCAAGGAGGCCAAAGAGCACGCGGAGGAGACTGCCAAGCAACGAGAAGGCAGCCGGACCCCACGTCGCAAGAACAAGCCCACGGAGGCGCCCTCTTTGCCAGAATCCAAAGAGGAAGCAGATGCGAAGCAGACGGCGCACCCTGGGAAGGCCCGCACAAATGCCTAATGGGAATGTGCGGGCCGAACGGATCCGGCCACTCCATTTTGGGTGACTGTGATTGTGTATGGCCCCATTGGGCTGACATTTTGGCGGCGAACTTGCAGCTTGAGGTTGGCCTGCAGGATCTGCCGCTGCTCCAGACCTTCCCCTTCGCTGAGGATCCGCGAGTCTGGAGTGAAGATGACTTTTTGACTTTTCAGTTTCAAACTTTTGGCGAGACGAGGTGGATGATGCAGTCCCTCTGTCGGGAATGACTCTGGACATCAACCCTGGTGTCCGAACTTTCCAGTCCTATACGGTGAGCTTGGGGAAGCCCGTAGCCTGGACCGATGCAGTTCGGACCCAGAGGTCACCGGCCAGAGTCATGTTCCGGGACAGCTCTTCTTTTGAGTGTGAACGCAGCCGCCGTAGTTGTACAAAGTCTGCTCTCCATGTACAGCCGCACCTGCTGCCTCTCAGCTTTAAGATAGAATGTGATCCGGGGGTGTATTTCCACAATGCTTTCCGTCGGGAGCTGGCGCAAGGCCTTGTCAGCCCTACTTGTCCTGCCCCTTCGTGGTTTGCAGCCCCGTCGCAGCTTGTGCCGCCAACCTGGGCGAGCACGGCACGGTCCATCACACCTCTTTGCACGCACTCTCTGCTCCCTCCTGACCTGCCCGACGAAGGGATGCTGGAGAATGTCAGCCATGCTGTTGTTGCTGCTTCCAGTCCTCCTTGTGGCGCTTGGGGCGGTACCCTGTCGACCCCCAACGTCAACCACGGCAACCACCACAGCACGGACGGCCCATACTGCTTCCTCGGCTATTTTCCAGCCCGGGCAAGGTTGCCAATGTGTGCACCCGGGGAACTCCTCCGACTCAGACTTGCTCCAGCAATGCACCTTTGAGTGGCGAGTCGACCGAGGCCCATGCGCCGCGGCAATGTGCACCCAAACCGTCAGGCCTGCCATCCCTTCGAATGAGCCTTTCGCAAGCAGTGGACCTGTTCCCGCGATCCTTATAGATCGCCCAGAAATTCGAGACTTGCAAGTCTCTGCCTTGGGAGGTTTTAGCGGTTATAGAACTTCGGGTATGGTTGGGGACACCCCGCAGCAAGACCGCTACTGCATCTTCACGACTGAGGCACATGCTGAAGTTCGCTCCTTGCCGCGTGGATGCACGTTAGGCCAGCTCATCGCGGATATATATGGAGTCTATCCTAGAATGCGATCAGCACGGCTCTTGACTAACCGACTGCCCGGGTTCCCGGCCACGCAGTTGGCAGTCACAATGCGTGACGCTCCTCCGGACCATCAAGCCATGCCCATCGACTATCGCCCCATGTCCGGTATGGTTTGCACTGTGTACGTGGGGGCCGGGCAAACTGCGGATGATGTTGCTGAGCATTGCCACAGAACCTGTCCGCCGCGCCGGCTGCCGCGCTACCTGTACGTCCTCTATGAGCCCAATGGAGAGGACTTCGATGCTGCGCCAGGCTTTGTGGAGGACCTCGACTACCTCAGGGCCGGCCAGCCTCGTTTTGCAGAACAGCCGGAGCTGAGAGACGAGGATGATGGAGCAGTCATGCTCCAGACAAGGCTGCTGGAGGGGACGCCGAGCAATGCCTTCGTGAACAAAGCGCATCTTCCCCCTCGGCCGCTCGAACCGCTCCGCTTACCAGTGCCGCCCAGCTGCCCCTCTCAAGACAGTGACCCCCCTTCTCTGCTGAAGCGCCGGCTTCCAGGGGAAAGCTCGAAGCACGCGGAGGGCCAATGGCAGTTACATCCACCGGCGCTTTTGGAGCCGCGCTACACGGATGTTGTGGTGTCCTATACGACATGGGGTAGACAAGAAGACTCCACCAGACATTTGTTCACAGTGTTTGATTCCAGGTTGCCAGAAGGGCTGTCGATACGGCACCGGGCCCCGTGAGGGCATTGCAGTTTCTAACAGTGCCGGTGCCAGGCCTGCCCCTACCGCAGGTCGTTCTCACGTTTGCTTCGGATCCGCGAGGGGCCCTTGCAATATACCGTGGGATGGCCGAGCAATTGGACTGCCATTACGTACAGTCCCGCACTCGCCAGGCGAGCCACTCCAGCATGCCGGTACCACTTTGCAACACGCTATGCCTATGGAGCCTGACCTAGCCTTGCGCATCAGCGACGGCAGGCTTCTGGTTATGGACGTGGCCGGCCTCATCCAAGAGGCCCTCCCGACTGTCCTGACGGAGATCCAATGGCTGCGCATCGAGCGTCCCATCTGGGACGAAGTTTCTGCAATGAGCCAGCAGCGTATGCCAGCCGTGCCTGAGGCGCTTCGCTACGGCATGCCCGCCGGGCTTAGCAATGCCTTTAGCACCACCAGCACCACCACAGGTATGCTAAGGGATGGTGTTCGCATCTACCGTATCAGACTTTTCGGCAATGGCAAAGAGGTTGCACACGATGTCCAGGCACCTTGCCAGCAGCTGGATTTGGTCCTCTGCCTTCTGTTGGGGAAGCTTCAGCACACCGCGCCTAACACCTGCGGCCCGGCAAGCATCATGATGGCCAAGGCACAGCCCCCAGCAACAGGCGATGTGCAGGAGGTCCTCTTCCTCAGTCATCAGACTGACGTTTACGATATGGTTTCCCTGTTTGTGGATGGTCGGCCTCAGGGGGGCAGTTTGGTGCTTGCCCAGCTCCCGCGTTTGACATCTACTGAACACGCCATACCGGAATCGGTTAGAGGTGCTGGATGCTTTGCACTCATCAATGGATCCCCTGCCCACCTAGCACAGAGGCCCGTGATGCATGGGGATTATGTTCAGCTTGGTTGTTCGGGTGTCTTCGTTCCACATGTGGCTGCCACTGACATTATGAATCAACTGCCCAGCACCGACGTATACGGCTATGAGTTTAGGGCACAGCTCAATTCGGGCGATGGCTCTTTTCTCGCCCGCATACGTGAAAGGCGCAGGGTGGCAAAAGTGTGGCAGCCTTTGGAAAATGTGATTACGATCGTTGGGCCAGCACATGGGCCAGTGCGACTGAGAATGGATACTCCATTCGTGCCGACTGTGGCCGAACTCCGGGAGGCCCTTTTATTTCGATGACCGAGTTTAACGGTATGCATCTGGCCATGGCCTACACCACGGCACAGATTCCAGGTGCCGCGCTGTTCGTGACGGTCTGCCCGCAAAGCGACCTACGCACAGTCTTGCTACCTCTGGCGCCGAGTCCAGCACACTACATTGTGCTCATGATACCATCACTCGCGGAAGATCTCGGCTACCTTCCTCTGGACCCCCAACAGAGACCTATGACAGGTGGAAGCATGGCCAAATACTGGCTATTTTTACTCTGCCTTCTTCCATGGCACGCCCTATCCACCGACATCTCAGGCCGCCACGTCCAATCTTCAGGGAAACCTACAGTCCTGCTGGTCGGATTGTCCCCAGAAGTGGCACCTCACTTGTGCAAATCCGTGATTCACGGGCAGCCGAACAGGTTCGATGTCGCAAGGCGGCCCGTCAATGGCAAGTTGATGAGCACCAGCCTTGCGTTGAAGGCCTGCCCCTGGAGGTGCACCAACGTCTTGCTGCTACTCCTGTTGCGATTGGTGATGAGTCCGACAGGCCAGCTACTGATTCAAGTGTACTAACTTCGGGGGCAAATCCCCTTCAGGTGCAGGCTGAGGTTTTGAAGGAGTCCCATGCTCCACTGCGCAGGATTGCCATTCCTACGCCCAGTGGACGCCGTCATGTGCCGGCGGGTGAAGCTGTGGCAACCGACACCTCCTTGCAGCCCTCAGGTTCCGGTTCCAATGGTGTCGACGCTCCCCAGATAGGAGCTCGCTCATCAACATCTACACCCCGTCGTGCTGCTATTTGTTTGGACACTGCCATTGCTCCTCCTGCCGTGGGCCTTGGATTTGGGCTGGCCCCTGACATGCTCGACTTTCTGTTGCTCGAGCATGCTCTGCATGATCTGGCCACTGATTTGCCGGCTCTGCCTGACTTGTTATCTGCGGCTCGGGCCGGCTGGACTGCGCTGGAGGAGTGGAACAGGTCAGAGCCACTGCACGGCCTTCAGCTTTTCACTGATGGCTCCTTCTTCCCCTCGTCCAGTTCAGCTGGATGGTCAGTTGTGGTTCTGGGGAGTTGTGCAGGTCGTGCTGTGCGTGTGGGTTTCATGTGCGGTACTTGCCCAGGTTTCTCCGCCTACCAGGGCGAACTATGCGCCCTCGTGCATGCTCGGGCTCTCGCCCTCTCTGTGAGGCCACTTCCAGTGGCGGTCGCTAGCGACTGCACTTCAGCGTTACAGGTCGCCTTTGGCGCGGCGGGGTTTGAGCACAATGATGACTTTGCGCGGGCCCTTGCTGGACTTTCGCTTGCGTCCACGGTCTTCCAACAGCCGGTCATGCCCCTACACATCCGTTCTCATACTGGCTGCGCGTTCAATGATACAGCAGACGCGCTAGCTAAGGGAGCCGCCCGGGGTGTTATTGGGGAACCGATGCTTATGAAAGCCGATGCTTTCTGGGCTGGGGTACGCGAGAGGGTTTGTGATTGGGTGTGGCTTCTTGCGCCTCAGTTTTTGTCCTCCGTGCAGCTGCCGTACTTGTCGCCTGGGGGCACTTGGACCCGAGCGTCATGTGAAGCACCGCCCAGCACCTCTGTGGACCCGGCTGTTCTGCAACCTGCGCCTTACGCTACCACTGCGGGGTGCACCTGCGCAAGCTCTGATGCTTAAAGGTCTCAGGCGTCACTCCGTCCAAGCGGCTTTCTTTCAGGAAACGCGTCTTGGTGTCACAGGCGTTGGTGCTAACGACGACTTCTGGGTCGTCAGTGCACCTTGTGCGGATGCCGGTGTTGGAGGATGGCAGGTCTGGCTACACCGTCAGGCCCCAATTGTCACGAGCTCTGGCCGCACCTGGTGCTGGAATCGCTCGTCTTTTACTATCGTGCATTCCAGCCCTCAGCTCCTTGTCGCAACTGCCGCTGCCGGGCCCTTGCAATTTGGGTTGGTGTCTGGACACGCCCCGAGTGCGACCGCTCCAGAGCACGTAAGGCAGGCCTGGTGGTCCCTACTGTCGGCACCAGGTTCGGAGGTTGCCACGCAGGCATGTGCTGCTTGCAGGCCTTGATGCAAATGCACGTTTTCGGCACGAGGACTCACCTTCGCTGGCTGTTGTTGCATCGGCCACTGTCTGCTGCAATTCCAAGGCCCTTTCTGACTTCACTTCCGAGTTTGGGCTGACCTCACAGCTGCCAGTCAGCACCACAGGTCAGCCAATTAGGACTTGGACGAGCCCCGCCGGGAAAGATGCGCTCATTGATTATGTGCTTGTGTCCTCCGACTGGCAATCCTCCTTGACCACCTTGGATACGCCGGACTTGCAGGACCAGCATTGTGGATTTGATCACTGGCCTCTGCTCGTCGAAGTGCAAACCTGTACTGTTGGCGAGCTTCCCTCCTCCACCAAAGGGTTCTGCAGGCGAGCCCTGGCCACTCCTGAAGGACAACAAATCGCAGCTTCAGCGGTAGCCTCCCTGCCGCAGGTCAGCTGGGATACTGACATCTCCACTCATGTCCAGGTCTTTCATCGACATCTCCACGACCGGCTGGTGAGAGATTTGCCCCACATGCCTGCCCCGGCACGCCATCCTGCTGTCACTGCGAGGACACTTGACTTGGTCCGTCGCCACCGCCATTGTCGCCAAATTCTCAAGTCTGCATCCAGGCACCATCGCAGGGCGCAACTTCATGCACTTTTTACGGCCTGGCGTGCCGGCACTGCAAGCCACCGCCAGTGTCGTCTCTGCAAGACTGCTGCGAACCGACTTGCGGAAATTTGTGCCGCGACCCTTCGCGTTGGCAAATGGGTGCGTGCTGCCATGCAACAGGATAAGGCCAGCTTTAGCAGGGCGCAGATAGAGGCCGCACGGGGCGCCGGGCCGGCGAAGTTTGCCCACCTTCTCCGGGCAATCACCAGACAGGGTCGTCGCTTCAAGCCGCCCAAGGTCCTCCCGGTCATACGGCAGGATGGCCATGATCATATTGGCCAGTTCGCTGTCACCAAAGTGCTGGGCGCTTCTTATGCAGCGGCTGAACGCGCTTCTCCTGTCCAACCAGGGGACTTCCTGGACTCCTGCAAGGTGAGCCGCTTGTTGGAGACTCCGATCGAGGTGACAGGCTCCCCTTCGCCTGTTGATCTCATCCGTGGTTTCCTCGGCCTACAGCTAGAGCGGCCGAGCCCCCGGTCGATCGTGCCTGCCCTCTGAAGTTTTTGCTTCCAACCCAGTGGCAGCGGCACTCGCCTACGGGCCCGTCATTCTCAAGCTTTTGGCTCGGGGAGTGAACCCAGCTCAATGGTCGGGAGGTGTCGCCCATTCTATCCCGAAGGGGTCCAAGGACCCTGGCAGTGTCCAGGGCTGGCGTGCCATTTTACTGCTTGAGACCGACGCTAAGGCATACCAGAAGGCTTGGCGGCCGCAAGCCATCCGCGCATTGGAGCACACCAGGGCGGTAGGGCAACACGGGGGTATCCCGAAACATACGCTCGAGCAGCCGGCTGCACTCGCGCGTGCCCACTTGCAAGGCCTCTCGGCCTCGGGGCGGTCGGGAGGGGCCCTTTTTGTGGACTGTGCAGCGGCCTACTACTCGATCGTGCGCGATTTTTACTTTTCTGGCCTGCACCACAGCTGGACTCAAGATGAGCTTGTGCAGCGGTCGCGTCTTTTCTTTGATGACGCAGAGGACCAAGACAGATTCCTGGCAGAGATGCGTGAGGGCCAGTGGCTCCGAGCCCTCCAACTTCCAGCGGATCTGCACAGGATCGTCATGGCTCAGCTTCAGGATACCTGGTACATCGATGGCAGCCCAGGGACGACCCTCTACGCCACCCGCTCGGGCACGGCGCCAGGTTCTCCTGTCGCCGATGCCTTGTTTGCCTTCCTGTTTAGCAGGTTTTTGCGCGGTATAGAGGCTTACCTTCGTGACACTGGGATCACCCCTACTGTCCACGTATGCTGTGCTCAGGCAGGTGATGCTGCTGCCCCTACTTGGGCAGATGACGTGGTCATTCTTTTTACTGCCAGCGGCCCTTCTGTTGTCGCGTCCACATTGGCCTCGCTTGGTGGGCAGGTTGTCTCTCGGCTACGACACTTGGGGCTGACTGCCAATTTGAGTGCTGGCAAGACTGAGGCTGTTGTCTCTATCCGAGGCCCAGGTTCTCGAAGGGCCCGGCAGCTCCTGTTGACTGCGGAACAGCCTAGTGTGGACCTCGCCTGTTCCTCAGGCGGGCATACTCCTCTTCGGATTGTCCCTGCTTATGTGCATCTCGGGACCACTCTCAACGCGGAGCTCTCGGAGACTGCCAATCTCAAGCGCAGGGCGTTGATGCTCTATACGGCATTCAAACCCATCAAGCATCGCCTCCTGCGCAACCCTTACCTTTTCTTCCACGAGAAGCGGGAGTTGATACTGAGTCGCATTATCCCCGCCTTTCTCCACGGGTCAGGTTTGTGGCGCCTTTCGACGCGACATGAGGTTGACTTGGCCCATGGGCCGCTCAATGCTGTTTTCCGTCAGTGCATCCGCCCCCTCACGGGTTACAGTGCCGCTTTGCTTACCCATGATGAGGTGCTGTCTGCCCTCGACCTTCCCTCAGTGGAGGAGCTGATTCGGGTGCACCAGGCCAGGGCATTAGCGCAAGTGCTACGGGCGGACATGCGATCCAGCTGGGAGGGCTTTACTGCCGACGGGTGCTGGCTTCGGCAGGCCTGCGCCGCAGCAGCTCTGGTGTTTCCCTCCGAGGATCTCCACTCTCTTGTCAAGGATGGTGCTCCAGACGACCTCGGGCCCCTGTCACTGCACTTTCAGGGTAAGGACCGCCAGTTGCGCAATGCCTGCCGACACTACCTCAGGCAGTGCCGTTCTGCCCGCAAGCCCGTGGATTGGAAGGCCGTGCTGCTTCGACAGGAACAGGCCGATCATGTGGAGGTTATCGCCAGCTCAGGACCGCGGCTGCAGTTTGCCTGCCACCTTTGCGATGTGGCGTCCCGCCAACGGCTATGCGTGCACCTGTCTCGACGGCACGGACAGCTTGCACAAGGACGGCGGGTGGTTCATGGGACACAATGCGAGGTATGTTGTGTACAATTCTGGACCACCGCCAGGCTGGCAGAACACCTCACCCGGTCAACAGTTTGTCAAAGGACCTACGAGGGGGCAGATTTAACTCCAGACGCTTTTTTGGGGTCTCATACGCCTGCCTGGCGTCCATGCACAAAAGTTGCCGGACCGCAACCCTTTTGGGCGACACTCAGACCATAGGTCCGAGGCGCCCACAAGGTGTTACTTTTGACCAGCCGCTTTTGGCTGCAGGCGCTGTCGCACACTTAGGATCAGCCGCTTTCAGGCTGGTGGACCACAGGTCCCTTTTTTCCATGTCAGCTCTTAAGCTGAGGACCGCATGTCGAATTTGACGCGCGCATTGGCACAAGCATGTCCGCCAAAAACCCGAAACCCACTAAGTCACGAAACCAAAAATCATATACCTTAAGCCATAATATTAGGGCTCCTATAAATGAAGGCATATTCCTTCATTAAGGGGTCTTGGGCTCCCTGGGAAACCAAAAAGCAGCTCAGCGAAGAGCGAAGGCCCCCCGAGGCAATCAACAGGGCAAGCTGCCTTTGGGCTTCCCGGTAGAGCCGGAGGTGAAGAGCACGTAAGCCGTGGCCTCGCTTGTAAAGCATCAACCCTAAACCCTAAACCATCGGTTTTGTTGGGCGCTAGAGTTTAGCGTTTATGGTCTGGGGTTTGGTGTATACATCAAGTTTGAGCATTTTGAATCATTCTTGTTGTGTTTGCCTTTCCTTATCGGGGTTGGGTAGATGTGGCCTGGCACTTCGAGCCTGCAACACGAGGTACCACCCTGTCGTAACTCCCTACCTTAAGTTGCCCTACCCCCAAGGAGAACAACCCTCAACGCGGACCAAGCTGTGACTAAACCGAGATGTGCGTCCCACACGCCAAGACGTATAAAGAAACCAATAGACCTGAATTAAGGAATATACCTTAAATCATATTAGGGATCCTAGTATAACTTAAGGTACATTCCGTAACTAAGGGATCTTGGAGTCTCTGGGAGAGTTGAAAGACACGACGGCCCGAGACTTTCGGATGGTGCTGAGGCTTCTAGACGAAACGGGCTCTTGTTAAGGAATTTACTTTAAGCTACCATAACAGGGATCTATAGTAAATAATAGGGTTTTTGTATTATGGTATTAAATTGGCATAATAGGGGATCTATAGTAAATAAGAGGTTTCTTTATTATGGTAACTTAAATTCAATCCCCTATCAAGAACGTTGTCTAGGGACGCAAGGCTATCCTACACCCTGAACTGCAAACTTTGGGGCCGAATTCCTTCATCCTAGGCTTTAGGGTTTAGGGTGTAGGGTTCAGGGTTTAGGGTGTAGGGTTTAGGCTTTAGGGTTTAGGGTTTAGGCTTTGGGGTTCAGGGTTTAGTGTTTGGGTGTAGGGTTTAGGGTTTAGGGTGTAGGGTTTAGGTTTTAGGGTTTAGGGTGCTTTAGGGTTTAGGCTTTGGGGTTTAGGTCAATCTCTAAGCGTTAACGATTAAAAAAAGCCTAGACACGCTGTCGGGGACCGGCTGCAACTTTGTGAAGTCCCTCGGAAGCGGATGGTCGTCTTCGGCCTCCGAAAAAAACGCCGCGAAATGCACAGAAGCCACGGCACCGGGAACCCGTTTTGAGGGCTCTGGACTTAGGGTTCTAGGGTTTAGGTTTGTAGGGTTTAAGGTTTAAGGTTTGGGGCTCATAGGGTTTAGGGTTTAGGGTTAGGCTTTTATTTCTTGGAGCTCCTTTGTGCACCTGCCTTGTCTCAGTCGGGTTTGTTTGGATGGGCGCGTGGGGGAATAATTTTGGCGATTCGGACGTGGGGCTGGGGGTTTTGGATTTCAGGATGAGGGTGAAAAGCTTTGAAGTTTAGAGCTGCAAGACTGGGCTTCAAGGCATTTCTGGCTGCGGAAATTGAAGCCCGAAGACATCTGCAAAGCTTCAAATCATGATCATGTCCATCAGCACTACTATTGCTACGAGTGCTGTTACGCTGTCGCCATTCCCTTGCCTGGGTTATTGTTGATAAATGTGATTTAAGTTACCATAATAAAGAACACCCTTTTATTTGCTACAGATCTCCATTGTGGTAACTTAAATGTAAATGCCTTAACAAGAACCGAGTGTTTTTCTGGAGTCACCATGACTAAAAAGTTTCGCTCAGACTGTTCTCGGCCTCGCAGATGCGGCCGTCGTCATGCACGGCCAGTATGCCTTGGGTGGGCCACGGGCTGTTCGGAGTAAAAGTTGCTGCCATTTGTTGGAAAAAGGGAAGGTCATCAGACGAGTATAGTATCGTGACCCTAAACCCCTAAGGACAGCGATTTTTTTTATGCTACCCCCCGCTTTT